GCCCAAATGTCCACAACAGCCAGTTCAAAGCCAGGAGCCAAGAACTCCATTCTCGTCTCCCACACGAGTGGCAGTGGCATGAATATTTTTTGGACCATCTTCTTCTGCCTTTCCAGGAGCATTAGCAGAAAGCTGGATAAGAAGTAGAGGAACTGGGGCTTGAACTAGCACTCCGATATGGAATGTTCCAATTTTAGTATATGTGCTGCCGAAGCGAGCAGCTGATATGGAATGTTAATGTCACAGCATTGATTTAATCTACTGTGCCACAACACCAAGCCCCCAAATCCACTTATTATTATTTTTAAAAGATTTATTTATATATTTGAAAGGCAGAGTTACAAAAAGACAGATGCAGAGATAGACAGAGGTCTTCCATCTACTGTTTCACTCCCTAAATGGCTGCAATGGCCAGAGCTGGGCGGATCCAAAGCCAGGAGCCTGGAATATCTTTGAGGTCTCCCACATAGGTGCAGGGGCCCAGGGACTTGGGCCATCTTCTACTGCTTTCCCAGGTCACAGTAGAGAGCTGGATCGGAAGTGGAGCAGCTGGAAGTGAATGGCACGGCCATATGAGATGCTCGCATTGCAGGCAGCAGCCTTATTCACTATGCCACAATACCGGCCCCCAAAATCTACTTATTATTAAGGACTTAATGTAATGTAAAAATCCGTAAACCATGCTCAAAGATTTAGTAGATTACGGGAGATCCACTAGAAAAGCATTAAAGATAAATTGGTACGTTAAAATTCTGAGAAAAAATATAGGATATATTCCAAGAAAGCACATGGTAAGTCCACAGAAGTTAACCAATCACAGTGATTTCTTTGAGTCTTAATAAGGAAAGGCCACTGGTTATAGGGAGAGAAAGAAGTGGAGTTTTAGCCAGGCACTATAACATGGAAAGAATTTGGATTAGGGAAAAGGACAGAAAGCAAAGTTACAGATTTCATAAGGAGGGCATAAAGTGTGCACAACATAGAGTAAGCATGGCAGACTGGCTGTACCCTTATGAACAAGTGGGTAAAGCAGAAACAGGCTTGGGATACTATGAAACATTTCTATTTGTATCCATAATTTTAAGACTATGGAACTATAGTAAAAAGGAAAATGGGGTATTCCAGTTTTTTTATACTCATTTAAAAATGTATAGATCAGTGGAAGAATCAAATGAACCTTGACGTACTAATTTTTAATCAATTTTTAGAATGGCATCTCAGCTACTGAATAGGTGACCTACAAAGTAGGTTTTTTTGTTCACAGAAAAGCAAGTAGCACACTTTAATAACGTAGAACATACAAGTATTTCAAAAAAGTACTCCAGGGGCCGGCACAGTAGGTTAAGTCTCTGCTTCCGGCGCTGGCATCCCATATGGGCACTGGTTCTAGTCTTGGCTGCTCCTCTTCTGATCCAGTTCTATGTTATGGTCTGGGAAAACAGTGGAGGATGGCCTGGGTGCTTGGACCCCCGTACCCGCGTGGAAGACCCAGAAGAAGCTCCTCGCTCCTGGCTTCGAATCAGCACAGCTCTGGCTGTTGCGGCCTTTTGGGGAGTGAACCAGTCGATGGAAGACCTTTCTCTCTGACTCTCCCTCTCTCTGTCTGTGACTCTAACTCTCAAATAAATAATTAAAATCTTTTAAAAAAATAAGAATAAAAATAAAAAAGTACTCCATGTGTGAGATTTTAATGTTAGCCCCACTATCTTGTTTACAGTTTATTGTGAAGGCTCTCCTAGGCTCTGGGGACACGGCAGTGAACAGAGTAGGCTCACACCTGCCCTCATGGAGCCTACATTAAGAGTTCTGTGACTCTGGGGAAACTTCTCTGAAATTTTTGACCCACGGTCAATTCATCATCAATCTGGTTCAATATTAGTAACCTAATTAAAAGAGAACATAAATATGGAAGTAGTTTAGACATTTAACAGAGTCTATTAAAGAACTGGTTAAAATCTACCTGGTCATTATCATATGTAGCTTAGTATATCATATCATACTTTTATTACATATGGTTCAATTTTCCTATTTCAGATACAAATTGTTTTCAGTCAGTAGAAAAATGTGGAAAGGAGGGAAGGAGAGTAAGAATACACAGTAATTAGAAGTCCTGGTTTCTATACTTACTTCTATCATTTACTGCCTTGTGAATCTAGACAAACACCTGTACATCAGTTTCTTTAATAAAAATGATTTTTTGAAAGCATTTTCCCATGAACTGAAAAATTTTTAATGTTATTTATTTTATTAATTTGAAAGGCAGAGAGAGAGAGAGATGGAGAAATGGAGAGAAGGAAAAAGAGATAGGCCAAGTAAGAATGAGAGAAAAGGAGAGAGAGTGCTCTCATCTGCTGCCTCATTCTCTAAATGCTTGCAACAGCTAGGGCTTGGCCAGGCTGAAGCCAGGAGGTGGGAATGCCATCCTGGTGTTCCACACGGGTGGCAGCAACCCAACAACCTGAGCCATCATCTCTGTCTCCTAGGGTATACCTCAGCAGGAAGCTGGAATGAAGAGCAGAGCTGGGACCTGAACCAAGGCTCCTCTATATGGGATGCAGGTGTTCCAATGGAAGCTTAACTACCACAACAATGCCTGCCCCAGGATAAAATGACTTGATCCACCTACTCATTAGGCTGTTGCAAAAATATGCAATGTAAAGGCTTAAGAAGTATATAAGTAAAATTTATCTCTATTACCTACAATGCTCTCTGTTTGAAAATTACAAATATTGTTATTTGGACATGTTTAAGAGAGGAAGTAATTTCCTGAGGGGATCAAAATAACCTAAGAATTAACATGTTTTCCACAGAATGAACCCATTCTTCTGCTTTCTACTATAGGACCAAGCATTGCTATCTAGAAGTAAGTTTTAATAGTAGCAGCACACCTCTGCTGTTCCACACAATTTTGAGTTTTAAAAGAAAGGGTGATTATTAAGAGAAGACATTTCTTAACTAAGACTACCAAATACAAGTTGTGCTATCTCCATGAGTCTATTTTTATCCTTTATTGCTTTGGATGGATTGATGAGTGAATGAGGCATAAAGAACTAAGGAAAAGAAGTAAAAGTGGCAGGAGTGAGAACAAGAGAAAAGAATTAAGGAAAGAAGACGAAAGGAAAGAGAGCAGGTCTTAATAATGAAGCGACATAAAAGGATTTTTTCCCTTGGTGTAAGAAACAATAAATGCAGGGATAAATGAAGCAGATGTGAACAACAGGATAAAGAAAATGCATACACACAAGAGAACAAAAGAGAAAATCAAAGCAATGATGACAAGATAAAGAGAAAACAGAAAGGAAGAAATAAACCTACAGGACAGATATCTGAAATAGATGCTTAATCTATACATGGCTATGCAAATAAAAGAAATTAAGAAGAAATAAAAAACAACTCAGAAATTACTTTTATTTGCATTTTACATAGACAAGTGAATACTCCATGATTTGCATATCTTAAAGAGCTTACATAATTATTTCCTGGATATGGACAGTAATTTTAGAAAATTTTAACTGTCATAGGTGGTACCTGACAGGACAGATCACATAGAAGGAAGAGTAGGACTCCAACGGGGAAGGCAACATCATGACCCATGCGCAGTCCAAGGGGTAAATGATTACATTAGAACACACAAGAGACTTAGTGACTTCAAATTCATTAACTGTTCATTTTTCAAATAATATTAAATAGTAAGATGTTTACAAGAAATATCTCCCTACTTCTGATTGACTCACTGCATAAAGTGCTTTCAGAATTGATCAGGATATCTTTCTGGGGGCCTTGAGAATTTATACACTGCTTTCACTATTCTTTACTGTCATAACTTACTCAACAGAATGACCTTTAATACTGGCTATTTGGATTAAAATTAGCTCCCCCAAAAAGGGTGACTATGCCATGAGCTAGAAGTGTAAAAAAATAAAATAAAAAGTTAGAAAGCAAGATATTTTCCTTCACAGGTGACATGAAATATTAATGATCATTTAAAGTAAACATAAAAATAACTCAAGTATAATACTCTGAAATGTTACTACTAGCCAAAGTGTAATTTGTAAAATGTTAAATTGTCTATGTTTAAATAAATGTTCTGGTTTACTCACTTTTGAAGAACCTATCTATTTACGGTTTCACTCAGTAGCATTTTTGACATGTTTTACTAATAAATTAAACTCCTAGCATCCATAATAAAGGCATTGAAAATTGTACAAATATGTCTAACATATAACACACAGTATGTATATCAAGTAGAATATGTCAAAGTGCAAATAACATTGTTTGTGCCCCCTACAGACTTAGAAACACTTGGGCAGCACTGTGATAACGATCCCATGCTGCTAGCATTATCAAGTGCAAAGGTTCACTGCGTAAGACGAGAGCAGAGGACAGTGTCCCCTCATTACACTATCCCTGCACTATTTTAGCTTCAATATTTATTAAGATATTAATTACTCTCCCCCCATTCTGCCTTCAGAAGTCAGGCTGAGGCACCATGAACGGATGGTTGCTTAGAGGAAAACAATACATCATCCAGTAAAACTTACCACCCAAGATGATGACTGTTTTGTTCAGCACATTATTAATTCAGCAGATATTAGGTCTTGGAATTATTAGAATACATGTACTTTCTCTTATGAACAATATAGCAGAAAAATTACTTAAGGAAATAGCATGTTGAGAACTGGATTGGAAAGTTCTCTTCCTTTTGTATGTATCACAACAAACTTATTTTGGAAAAGTTTCCTTGAATGAATGTATGACACAAAAGGAAACAGCAGTTGCATTTGAACCTTCTGTAAAATGTTAACACTGAAGTAAGAATAATGCGTCTTATAATTTTGAAGTAAAAACTGAAAACATTTCTTCCAAAATAAACAACCAAGCAAAGTAAATGGCTAAAAATAAAAGAACTAACAGTTCCTTTAGAAAAGCAAACAAAATAATTTATATTAAATAAAATATAAACATAGGGACTAAGGAAGGAAAGCATTCATCTCACTTACTCTGATATACAGTTGCATCATTTCTTTTTCTCTTTGGGGGTTACGATACTTCTCATAGAAATCACGCCGCTTCTTTGTCTCTTTAGAGACTTTATCTTTTCTTTCCCGTTTTTCTGCAGGTTCATCTGAGCTATCTGAAGATGACTGTACGTGAGTCTTGGGCTTTTCTACTTCAATATAGTTTTCGTTGGGATTCAGTACTATCACTCCATAGCCTTCCTGTTTTGAAACAAAAGAAAAGTGCATAATTTCATTTCAGAATCCATTTCAATGATTAAAAAGCTTCCAAAATCTCAGACTAAGTAATGTAATATAGATGCACAGCCACTAAAATATTCCTTTAGGAAAAAGTATTGTTCTTTCTCTGTGTCTCTCTCTCTCACTGTCTAACTCTGCCTGTCAAAAAAAAAGAGTATTGTTTTAATTTTTCCAAAAGAAAGTCATTTAAAGTTCCTTGCATTTATTGCATATATAAATAACCATTTATTATCCATAAGAACAAAAACCACATAATTACAACATGATTATAATGCCCAAATTTTTAAAAAATGTAATTCAGATCTCACATAACTCCAAAAATGATTGAAATAAATTATCAAATAACAGTTTTACTTTCAAACCACATTAATATTTATAATATATATTTTGAGAAAATAATCTTTTTGAAATTGAAGTTTACAATTCAAAATACATTTTGTAGGATTTTTACTTTATACTAGCCCCTTAATGAGTATTTTTTCTTTGTTTGCGAAGCAAGAAAGAATGAGCAATTAAGGAATAAGTCTAACGTTCCACAAATTTACGTATCTGTCTTATCAGAAACATAAATATCTACCTGTGCAGCTAGGATTTTATTTACCTTTTCCTTTTAGGAGGTCAGAAAAATCACAAAACAAAATAAACTAATGTATGGAAGCAACCCTTGAATCTTGAAATTTCATTTTGCAAATAAACAATTTATCTTTATTACAGAAAACATGTAAAATTTTAAGCTTTAAAAATACAACTTGTTGAATGAACTATCAAGGCTTAAAGTTAGAAAAACATAAATGAATTCCTATCAGACATATTTTAGCAATGCAAATAAGATATTTTTGATATTTTCACTATAATTGACAGAATAACCTAATCATGATAAAATATGGGAGAACAAGCAAAAACCACTGATAAGCATGCACAACACAAATTTTTGAAGCTCTTATATATCTTGTCTTACTATTCAACTCCATGTTGTGAGTATTTGAATTGAATCTTGTAAACTTCTATAAGGCCATACTTAAAAGATATATTATTTTATGATAAAACAAATCCACAGAAAATAAAATCTCATTAACATAATTTTAAACCTGATGGCAATAATAATGAATCAACATTAACACAGACTCAACTATCTTATTTTAAAATATGTGATATGAAACTCATTCATGGTTGGTTTTTTTGCATTTGATTTCACAAACTACTTAGAAATTTCACTGAGTTTCTTCCGATCCCTTCCCTCATGCCCTAATCAATGATATTACTGTCTAAAACTATGATCTGGTTTGGAAACTTTTAAGATCACTGATGTCCTGACTTTAATAATATGACTCAAAATTAAGATATAGTGTCTTATATGCATGAAAACTATGCAATATATACCAAAATAATGAACACAATACCACAAATCAACATATGTTAAAGTAAAAAACTTTAGATAAATGCTTCTTTCATGAAATTTCACAAAGTACTTGAAAAAATATTTAATTTAAACATTTGACATCGAAGGACAAAAGACGTTTTTCTTTTCTTTGTTTTTTTTTTTTTTTTTTAAGTTTCTTGGTTGGTAAGTCCTAAGTTTTACCAACAAAAGATATTTTATTTGGTTCTGCTTTATTCTAATCTGTATAGCTATTCAAAAGTCTTGTAATTCATTGTGATCACTGTCAGGTAGACAGATTGTCACTTGGTGATTTTCTACAGTTGGACACACTTGACTAGTTATTAAAATCACATTTGAAGTAAGTTCCTACCCCTCTTCCTTGTGCCTCTTACAACTTTTCACGCCCTTCTCAAATTTCAGCTATAACTTCTCCTCCCACCAAAAGTAAGTTAAAGAACACTGTTGCACTCTGCTAACCAGGGTGAAATAGAGGCATTCAGTACACTGTCTCTGGTGTAAGGAACATAGTCAAAAAAGGTCACCATAGGCCAAAAAGAAAATTGCCTCCTTACTAGATTCTGTACCGTGAGTAAGTGGTCTCCTGTCATGTTTCTTCCCTGCCTTCTCTGAGTGAATTGAACTTTAAACACACACACACACACACACACACACACACACTTCATCCTCACACATGGGTTAGAGTCAGCAATCCTCAAATAGAATCTTATAATTCTTAGAGTTAAAATCAGTGACATACATTTTAATGATGATACAAAAAACTTCAAAAGCAAAGTAACAAAATGAGATGTTTAATAAATTGATAAAACACGAGCATCTTGTTTGCACAACAAATGAAATCCAAGTAAAGGTGAACTCTTCCAATAAAATTTATACTCACCAGAATTTCAAAACTACTATCCTAATTTAAAATTTAATTATTAGAAATAGTATTTGTATAATATCAGCCTTACTTGAGCACGTTTCAGTTCAATTTTTACAAATCATAAATTAAAAATTATTGTACCTACTTGCTTTTAAAGTCTTTGAAATTTGATGTGTCCCAGCTACATCATATAAACAACAGACACACATAAATCATCAAAGAAGTAGTATTTGTCTAAGATATTGATTATGTAACTGAAAATTACATGACTCATTTGTTCAATTTTATAAAGGCACAATGTCAATTTTTCACTGAGGCATCAACAGATGAAAAATGATTCTATTTTTAAATCACCACTATATAAGTCAATTAAAGAATTATCATTTAGATTTCGACAATGAATGCTTCTATTAAACACTTAAATTATTTAGGATATATTTTACCCTTTACATATTTCAAATGGCCAATTTAATTAATGCAATAATAAGAAATATTCAGGAACATTTTCTGCAGAAATGAGAGCTTATTTTACTAAATTTCTGCTGAAAATTCAATTATCACTCTATAAAAAAGTAATCATTTTCAACTAAATTTTTTGGATAAATTAATATTCACAGATATCACTCATAACTATTTTATAATGACTAGGAGAAAGCAGGAGCAATGAAACAAAGTTAACTACCCCACCTCCATGCTGAAATCAGACACATCTTTTCCCTGTTTTCTCCATCATACGTAACATTGGCAAGAAGATCCATTTATGTAAGCTACAAGGATTTTGTCATGTCAACGTCAATAATGGAAACTAAATAGACAAAGCAAATAAAGTAAAGCAAAGCAGAGACAAAATATCAGTAGTTAAGTTTAACTGTTTAAAATAGCTTTATATCAACTCATATCTTTTAAAAACTTAGAATAAGGTACCTATAAGGTTTTATAGAACTATACTATGAAGTCAGGCATTGTGTAGCATTATAGAATGACTGTCCACTGCTACTCTAATAAGGAAGCCTCTATCAATTACACTTAGAACCTTAAACATCTTATATTAAAGAATCTCTTTCATATTTAATTATTAATTAAACGTGTTAAATTTCTCCTAAGATGAAGTTAGCTAATCTCAAACACACATGGAAACATCTTCAGTTATGTTTAACAACAGAAAGTGATCAAACTGATTATTTAGCATTCTACAACTAAATAAGATTTCTGGCATCATTTATAATGATTTACACAAATCAATTCCAATATCCAACATTTCAAGAGACAAAGCATACATAAAATCGCTAATTAACTCCAGTTTGATCACAGTCTCGTAGAAGATCCAGAGGACAGACATTGGTAAAGGTATGCTTCACCTATTTAACTCACCCAATTCCATTCTATATGCTTTCTTTTAGCTAGAAACACAGTTTCATTTTCAGACCTATGTTCATAAGGTATAAGCTATGGGATCCGAATTAGAAACCCTCAAAAGTTTATGGCATTTTACTCAGCACAAGTACGTTCTGTGATCTAAATAGACTACATAGGCCAACAGGCCTTCTTTACTTTGAAGTCTATAGATGTACTTACTAATAAATAATAGTTCATTTATCATTCCATCAACAAATGATGCTTAGGTCAGAGAAGTCTAAAACAGACAGGTGATGCCAAATACAAAGAACCAAAGGGGAAATCTTGCTAGAGGAATTAAACCGGCACAGAAATGTGCTTATCAAGAAAATCCACATATAAAATTTTAAGATGCCTAAACAAAACCAGTCTGTACTTCTGACCCCAAATGAAATACTGCTAAAACTGAAGATTTATTCAAGTTAATTTGCCTGTAAACTACCAGTAATGAGGAAAATGGAAAATAGGGGTAAATTTTATCTTTTCCAATCTCTTGTGGTTGGCTCAATTAAAAAAAAATCAGTTGAAAATACTCAGGTCTGCATATTAACCTGCCAATACCTCAAGCCACATGTGACCAAAGAGGTCAGGGGCCAGAGCAGAATTCTGTGACCTGTGGAACTATCTAGCTGGGTCTTCAGGCAAAGCTCTGTAAGAGATCATTTTACACAGATTTATCAATCATATTTTTCAAGTTCATCATTCTATCTGCTTGCTTTGAAAGACAGTAGGTGCTCATCCTCCAGGGAAATGAAAACCAAAGTGTTTTATCTACAAAGTACATCTATCCATAGTTAAAATGGACAAACACCACTGTCCATTCATCTTCTCTGAAATATGTACAGTGTTTATTCTCATCCTTTTCACAAGTAAGGTATGGATATGTCACTGTTGCAACATCCTAGGTGCAACAGTGAGATGAGGTCATGACAACCAATCAGAAGTCACTAGTGAAGCGTTAAAGTAAACATAGCTGTTGGAGCTGCAGCTCTGCTTGAAAAATGCCCCCTCCATTATTTCAGCAATTTTCTCAAGACGTGACCTGGGACTGAAATGCCTGAAATGTCTCTTGACTCTGTTTTGTGCTTCTTCTCAACATGCATTAGGTAACAGCACCCTACTAATAGTTTGCAAAGTGTTCCTCATGACCATACTTCAAGTTGCAGCTTCTTGAATTCTTATGCTACGTTCCATGTATTAAAATACCATAATATGGACCAACATAGATGATCCCAGTTAAGTTTCCAGCTTCAAATAGCTCATCAAGTTAGTCAGTAAAAGAAAACATGCCACAAAAAGTTT